TTCTGTGATTCTGTGATTCTGTGATTATTTCCTTCTTTTCTGATAGAATTAATAGTCACAGTAAAATTTTAAAATTAATTTTTGATGTTTTCTTTCCAGTGTGTGAGCTTAAAGCATGAGCTTTATAGGTAGATACACAAAGGGGTTCTATGACAGTTGTCCCTGGAGCACATAAGACCAGTCCATTAGAAAGGAATAAAAGGGACCATGAAACAAAAAAGGCAATAGATTTAAAGCATACACTAGTAAGTAGTAACCTGAAATCTACTGCAGGACTTAAGCAAGCAGTGTTACCCATTCTTTTCTCCATGTCATACTCAGAGCAAAATACATTTTCTTCACTGATTTTATTATATTGCATGTGAGACACACAGCAGCAAACACAGAGAGAATACTGTCCCTCACACTAAATAACATGTGTCTGATAGCTGACATCACATTTTCAGAGACAGGATTTCCCTTCCTATTGCAGAACTACAGATTGAGGTTTTAGAATTTTAATACTAAACACTACATTGGTGTGCTAATTCTATATAGAATTGCTCAATCTTGCTTTTTAATTTTTGCCTCATTATATTCTTGTCCTTCCAAAGGCTTTTGTTTTGGTTTGGGGTTGTTGGTTTGTTTTGGGTTTTTTTTCCTTGCAAGTTGCCCAGTTAGGCCATGGGAATAGAATCATGAGTGCTTTATGCATATTCTTTTACACCCAGCATTCCACTGTAAGATTTCACTGACACTAGTGGGACTGTCCCTTATGTTTATAGATATATGAAATCGGAATTCAGTTCAACATGTACTGAGAATCAACCTCTCCATTAGCCATTCCTTTAAGCAATACACTAGATTTCAGAAAATAAAAAATACTCTAATAGACAACCATCTTTCCTGAAAGTTCAGTGGTTCCTTATGGTGGGCTTCACTAGGAATCCTGGAAGACATCATGGCCCAATAATTCATGCAGTGAACCTCTGAGGAAGGTGTTTATGATACTCTTTACTGTGTTCCAATCCATGTAGCTAGCCAATACATAGGAAATGTGACTGGCTTAAGATGAACTATTGACTGTGATTTCAGGTCTTAGCTGGGCTTTTCAACAAATGAGTTCAGGACTGGCACTCATAAGTTACATAATTTGTACAATTTCAGTCACCAAAGCATGAGAATCATAATGGACAACAGTATGGCACTTTTACAGAAAATTACAATTCAGGTATTTTGGATTGTCATGTGTGTAAATGAGTCAGAAAACAAAAGTGACCAACTTTGAATATATGTAAGTTTTAAATCTTCAGGAAAACAAAAACAATCACAAAATTAAAGAAAAAAAATTCAAGTGTCTTGGATACAGACTGCAAACTTCATAATAATAAATGTTTGCAAGAATGGCTGGAAAAATATTTACATCCTTCCATCATTATCAATTGCTCAGTTTTATTTAATAATCAGACTTAGCTTCACAGAACTAAATAAGGCAGTAATCACCATGAGACGATCTGTGCTCTTGAAGGTCAAGTAAACATTGTCAAGCACATAATTCAAATGGTCACAGTGTTATTGAAGGGCACTTCAGTACGTTTATACTTTCTGGCATATTTACTGAACTTTAACAAGAGAATACAAACATATTTAAATGGCACTGTTTCTTCAAGCCTTACAGGAATGTAGATATCCTGGGGTTTATATCCAAAATTAACCTCTATGTATTTTGTATAGTACCCCAATATAATGGCAGCTTTCACTCAAACAATGAGATGTTTTGATCTCTGAACAGAATAAACAAAATACAGCAAACCCTGACCTAACAGTATTTCCTTAAACTAGACCATCCACCAACAAGTGAGGAATATTTCCCTGAAAAGTCTGTCAAGCATTAGAGGAAGCTGCTAGCTTTTAATTTAGTAAATTTCAGAAATTTTCTGAATAGGAAAGCACCCTAATATCCTTGCTTTTCAAAGAGCAATCAGCCTTTTCAAACAAGCTACATTTCACTTTAAAATTACTGTTTCCTGATTAGGCACATTTAATAGGGGCAGCAGATCATTCTTGTGTTAGTAAAGCTATGCAACCAGATCAACACTGAGACACAATTGACTCAGTGAATGCTCTTTCCACACAGAATGTACAAGGCAACAGTATTTAGTTTAATATTCTTATGCCAATATTTACAGAAAATTTAGGTCTGGATGAGACTTGTTCAAAATTCAGATGCTAATATGGTATATACATCCAGCAAATCTTGTAAGAGCAGACTGGACTTGTCAGAAGTAGTTCAGGTATATTTTTAACCTACCTTGAAACTGGGAGTGGATTTCATGACTGCTTGCAGTCCCTTCTGGGACATCTTATATCATCATTGGTTATATATTTCAATGGCTTAAAAGAAGAGCGGGGGTTTGTGTGGTGTTTTTTAATGAATGTTTAGTACTGAGTTAGTACTTCAATGAAGTACTTTCATAAGAAGGGCTGCTAGATTAGGCTGTAAACCACTATTTATTAAGAAAAAGAGTAAAGTTATTTGGAAAAGGAATTACCAGTGAAGTGTTTGTACTAACCTATTTCTTTCTTTTCCAAGATGAATTAAACTACTTTCATCCAAGTAAAGGCTGGTAAAATTAGTCTAGGTAAGATCAAAATATTGTCAAAACTAATTAAAACAATAAAGCACAGAAAGATTGTGAAAATCAGAAGCTCTTATCAAAAGCCTTGGAATTACTTTTGGAATTACTATGTTGTACAAAACACAGAGATAACCAGTGTAATGACCAAGGTAAAGAAATAAATGTTTCAGCTTACTTGTCCAGGGCTGTGCTGGTAGGCATGCTCCTGCCAAATCCTCGGACACCCATCTGACAAAAGTATGGAATGCAAGACAGGTTGGCAGCAATTATAGCCAATGAATCCGATGCGTTAACAAAGAAACCATTTTGGCCAAGGATCATGTAGCGGTCCTGCAGAAGAAAAGAAATTCAATAAAGTATTTTAAATTCCATGTTTTGGGGAATGGCAATTTCTTTCACTAGATCCACTGCAGGGAAAAAAAAAAAACCAAACAAACCACGCTTTGAGTTACTCGCACTCCTCCTTGGGCAGAATAATTTTTTGGCATCATCCTGGCAGGTCTATAAAGTCGCTATCATATCATTACTCCCTCCAGCCTTGCAAATCAAAGCTCCAGATCAGTACCTAGCTTCAGCCTCCTACATGATGCTTCAGTAACCCTGTTCCCATCTGGGAATGCTTGTGTAGGAGAATCTTTTTGCCAGTGACACATGGTATAGGGGGAGTAGGGGGGTGTTTTTTGTTTACTGACAACAGAAAACAGCTTTTGTTCTTCAGAATCTTTTCATCTTTCTCCCACCCTGTCAGGACAGAAAGTTGTTTCTGTAATACTTTGCTGTTTATAATGCTGATAATATGACATTAAAAAAATAAATAAATAAAAAAATCAGAGATTATGATTCAGTGCTTTATTTAGCTAAAAATCCCTCAATTTACAATGTTAACCAAAAAAGACTTAACTTAGTTACTACTTAATGTGACAAGTCCCACCTATATATGCTGTCTCTTCCTAACCAGAGAATAAAAGTGTTACACCAGTACAAGATAAAGCCAGACTAATATTTAGAGATTTCTCGTTCTGGATTCAAATCCTGCTCAATTCGCAGTCATCTGCAGAGACAACTTACAACATATGTGTCTGATTTATGGGCTGCAAATGCTATCATCTGTACCTGAAAGTAATATCACTTTCAACTTTGAGGGCTTACTGAAAAGCAAATAAATTATACTTGTATGTCCCATATCTGACACCAGACAAAAGTACAACTGCGTTGAAACTTCCAGACAGATCAAAATACTTACTCCATCAGCATCAAAAGCAGCTCCAAATCCATACTCTCCACCTCTCATAGCCTCCAGCAGGGCAGTTGCATACATTAAATTGGGATCAGGAGGCTGTCCACCGAAATCCTCCAGAGGAATACAGTTTATAGCAGAATTTGCAGGAGCTCCCAATTCATCACACAGGATCCTTCTCACATAAGGTCCCATAACTGCAAAAACAGAAATGTGCCATGCAATCACAAAAGCATATGCTCAACATTCAAATTTTTCACAGCACCATGGAGACCTGATGCAAAACATACTTTCAGCAATTCTATACATCTGTCCTAGCAACAAAAACAAAACTAGCATTTCACAGAGGGGCATATAATTGTCCCCCCAGTAAGAAATCAACTGGCAATTCAGCATCAAAAACACAGCTCCCCAGTAGTGGAAGTGAAAAAGTAATAACTGAATGGTGAAAGACACAAGTTTTATTTACCCATTATTAAGTAAAGAAATTATTAAACACATAGAGGATTTTTCCTCACTAGAAAAAAAAATAAGATGCTACTCTATGCATCCTGGAATGCAAACAACCTAACACATAATAGCAAGGGAAGTAAATGGTAGGGACATACAAACAGGAAATAAACTTACCTCAATTCCAATTTCATATTAAAATTACAACAGGTTTGTCCACCAAAGAATTTTAACACATTTTAGTTACTACCATGTAGATTATAAATAAAAGTTTTCTCAAAACTAACTTCAAAATAACTTTTTTATTTCGTTAAAGATAGGGCCAACTAAGCTCATGCTATTATATATCATAATTATTATATGCAATGCTGTGAAGTATCTCAAAACATCGCCCAGATTAATTTTGGAGCAGCATTATATTTCAGCTACATTCCAGATTAACATCCTGGGCCTTTTCTTTTTCTCCTAATAAGAATTCTTCATCCTAATTCTAATTACTGAATGAAAAATAGATAATGTTCTATCCTTTAACAAATGAATTTTCATTTTAAACAACTATAAGGAATATTTTCTAAGTATTAATATTTTCTAAGTATTAATTTGATGATATTAACAATATCATCAAATTTCTATCATTTCAGCACAGAAATAAAAGGATCCTGAATACAGATGCATCTTGAAATGCAGTCAATATCAAACCATACAGAACATTGTTCAACCCCACAATCAAATCTTTTACTTCTATGGACAAACCATAATGTTGATTGTGTATGAAATCTCCACTTGTGCATTCAATGGCTGAACAGACACTAACAACTGACTGAGCTCTCTGCATCCCTGAGACAGGTGTGAACAGGTCACTCAGAGACAAAAAAATTAATGAGTGATTGCTTGCTCTCTCATGCTCTCTCTTTCTCCTACCTTAGTCCCAAATCTTGCTAAGTGAAGCAACTGTAACCCAAGGTAAAATTATGTGAGAAACTTGTGTTCAAGAAAATTTAGATGCTAATTCTGTAAAATATACAGTAAACAATGATTCAGGCTCTCATCAAGCATACAATCCTGACAAATGACTCTTTTCTATGCCAATGTTAAACTATCAATGCCTACAAGCATAGAAGCATATTCCAGAGTTCCAGAGCTAAAACAAACTTTGGAAGTTACACATGTGGCCCTCTCTAATGTTCACTATATTGTGGCTGGTGGCACATTTTTAGCGCGCACATCTCATCCAGAAAGCCTTTTGATCTGATGCCACCAAGAGAAGGACAAGCCCCAACTATGTTTGGTAGATTGCTCCAGTGGTTATTCACTGTTACACACAAACATATGAGCTACATTTCAATTTGAATTTGTTCGTCCTCAGCTTCTCACTATTGATTCTTTTTGGTATTTTTGGGAACAAAGATTGAGAAATAATATTTCTGCAGAAAAAAAAAATAAATCTGTTATATAAACAAATATTCCTAGATACACTTACTGTATGTGTACTATGTATTATAGTATGGCTATTTCTCCACAAAGTCTTAAAGCAAATTCTCTATCACCTTGTAAATAAACAAACTCCACCCTTTAAAAATTTTCGTGTTGCATTAGTTTTTCTAACCCTGAGCCAGACTATGCAACTTTTTGACCACATGTAAAATTTTTCAATACTCAGTTATAAATCTGGACCTCAGAGCTCTATACACTATCTAAGTAACATTCTCTCTAGTACTGTATGTGACAGGAGGCAGTGCCTTCCTCAACGTTCCCTCTGCATTGTTCAAGGACACCATCTGTGCTATTGCCACAGCTTGGCAAAAGTGGGTGTTGACACTGACTGTACGCCCACTATGATGTTTTGAGCAGTGACTATCACACTGTACTAGATAAAATGCTTTACAAAAGCTTTGTAAGTCTATCCAGCTCCCTTTATTGGTCTGTTTTTGTAATTCCACTAAAGAACGAAACCTGGTGTGTTCATATGTCTTTTGCCATAAGACAATGAACGTCATTACTTACATTCCTATCCTTCAAGTCATTATCTGTAGAAATCCTTATTTATTTTTTCATTACGTAGCCTAAGATAGATCGCAAACTGATATATGTTTCCCCAAGTGACATAGCTTGTAATTTTTTAATATTGGCAAAAAATTGGTCCCCTTGCTGTCTTCTGTAACACTTTTTTTCATCTTGCCCCCAGCATTGTTAGTGAGACAGAGGTCTTAGCCAACTCTTTAAGGAATCTTGGGTGCAATTTATTCAGACTTAATTAATTTTATACCATTTAGAATCTACTCTTAGTAAAGACTGCCTTGTAACCTCCTTGGTTACTGCACACTGCAAAATACTTCATCACTCTTCCATGGCAAGATTACCTTATCCTGCTTGCTTCCAAATGCAGAAAGAGAACATTTATTGGACACGTATGACTTCACTTCTTTATCAAGAAAGATAAACCTCTTTGCCCAATAAGAGACCATTGTTAAGACTGTCTTTGTTACTAGTATAATGTTCAAATCCTTTCTAATTACCCTTAACATTACTAAAAATTCTTTACTTTTTTAGGCTGTAGCTTTATGGGGAAACTATTGTAGTGTACTATCTTTATTGGGAAGCTATTGCAGTGTACCTACTATTTTGTCCTGATAGCAACTTAAGTTCATACCTCCATTCATGGCATCAATCCTTATTTTAATCTGGTTGGGTCCGGTCAGTAAATTTCTGATCGCATTGAAGTCAAAGATACTTCGAAGGAGATTGAGGTAGATATCCACAGAATCCACAATTTCCACTAGAAAAATTAGGTAGAAAAAAAATCACTACAGTTCACATATGTGAAGATAATCTCTTCCAGCACACTTCCACCAGTCATGCACCTCAACTAAAATCAGAGCATGCAACCTCTACATAAGTTGCTCTGAAGTCCGCAGAGGCAAAGTCAAAGATTTCCACTGATTTCAGCATGGCTACAATCTAGCTTTAAGCCTTGCAAAGATCAACAATTTTGCCTGCTCAAGGACTGTGGAGATAACATAAGTTGACAATTCCTGTTTCGCTGAAAATATTCGTGAGAGTACATTATGTCAAAGTAAACTGTTAACTTATCATTCACTAAATTACTGACCACCTTTTCAAGCTAAACAGGTTTATTCTCAGAGGATGGAAGATGTCCCTGCCAAGTTGAAGCCACACATTCTATTCTTCTATCTAACAGCAGTATCTATCTACGCCATTCCATAAGGAAAGATATACAGCCTATTCTTCTTGGTTTTGGCACCTTGAATATCTATCTCCAGTTTGTTGTCAATCTACCACTATACTTTTGCATTTTATATCTCACTGATTTAGGAAAGTTAGGCTCAGATGCAACATCTGATTTTTGCTAAGGTCTTGCTAATATGAATTCTAAATTCATAAAAGCAGAGAGCTGCAATTTTACTAGTTCTTTTGGATGTAAAACATTAAACTAAAATCAACTAATGAAAGTAAATCTGCCATAATGAAAGCAGTTACCAAATAACTGTCAAAAGCCATGCTTCTCAGCCATCTTGGAACATATTACTTTTCCTGATTAAATTAAAAAGCATATGTTACACAAATGTCTTTTTATCTGGTTAAATTAGTATCTTGAAATATTTTAGTTACAAGTTAAATTATTACTTAGAATATCAGACAGTTCTCCTCAGAAACACTGACCTCACACTATTGCTCTTCTTTAGGATAACATGAAAATGACACAAATGTTTTTTGAGCCTGAGAAAAACACTTAAAATAGATTGTGAAAAGAATGGAGGAAAAAAAAGATTCTCAAGGCTGAAAAACTACCTGTAAAATCCATTTGAAAATTAGTTAATTCTATGGTATATGTTGAAACTCTCAAGGATCTACTGAAATTATGTTACTGCGTATTTTTATGCCCTAACAATGCTTAAGTATGCTCTAAGCTTTACACTTATGAACAAATGCATCAATTTCAGTGGAGCTGCTTACACATGTTAAGATAAAGTGCATGTAGGATTAAAGTCTTAAAATTTATTTTAGCTCCTGACAAACACAACTGGTTAACTCTCAGTTGCTTCAACACCTCTGTAGCCTTGATTCACAGGAGTTAGTTCATGCAACTGAAAAAGAAGAAGTTTTAAATACTTCAGATAGTATCTTGAAATACTACTTTCATTCTTTCTGCACTTCCATTCTCCCTTCAGACCTGTGTAAACTATACTTATTCATGCATTTCTAAGCCAATTACATTGATTACTGCAGTAGGGATCCCTGGCAGCTCTACTGTCCCAGGATGACGTATTTTGGGAAGTGATGATGGGGAAATGATTTTTCCTTAGAAAAATTCAGACAAATTGCAATTATTTTTAATCTATTTTTATACTACCTGTAGCAGGGGGAGAGTGTCTCATTTTCATTTAGAAAAATATAATTTGGAGAGTTGAAAAAGTTGAAAAAGAAAAATTGAAAACTGTGCTAAACATACGATTCCAGATTGGTGCTGGAGCTGAATTTTCTTTGCTTTCTGTTTGCCTAAAAAGCCAAATATGTTCTTTGCAAACAAACAAACAAAAAAAAATTTAAGATTCTTTGTAATCAAGAAATGTATTTATCAGATGTAATTTGTCTCAAAATAGAATGTTTTGGTGGAAAATAAACTGGCTTTAATTCTTTAATCAGGAATAAGGAAGAGGTCTTGAGGTCACACAGAGTATTACAGTATTTGAAATAGTCTGTACCCATTCATTTGCTTTTGACTCCTGCAGGACAAAATGGCTGTGTTAGCTCATTTTAAATTAAGTGTAGGCATAAAAGTGTTCACGTGCTTAAAATTAAACATGTGCTTAAGCACTCCCTTTATATTTGGAGCCACTGGATGTATATTGCTCCACACATCCCACAACTTTCCAGAGAGTGTGAGCAAAGAATGAATAAACTGAGACTCTCACAAACTTTTTTGTCAATTAGACTTAGAGAAGCAAACCCTTTCTAGTCCAAAAATGTGTTTGGTGTTTAACTACTAGCAAGCCACGTATGTGTGGCAAAGGTATCTGGCTAAATGTTGAGGCCTGATGCACTTAAAGCCCATAACACAGCTTCGTCATGTGCAAAACAAATGCAACACTTACCTATACTGCCCAATATTTTGAGAACTTGTAGTAAGACATTTTGAAAAATTAAAAGTTCTGTTTAAATAATTACCTATTATCATTCTGCAGCAATTCTAATATTTAGAATTAATGGATGTAGCATGCATAAAAGCACACATTGATACCTCGGAAAGGTTTGAATTTGTTCTCCAGATCAAATTCTTGTCTTCCTAGGCGTGATAAATCAACTCTGAGATCAGGACAAATGGCATATTCCTCCAAGGTTTTGCTGATCTGATAGATTTTATCTGAAACTATATCTGGAGCAGGTCCTATAAGAAAAAAGAATGTGGTGGGTCATAATGAAGGGTCCCTGCTTAAGAAGTGAGTGCTATAGCAAACAATTTTCTGAATATATTTGAGTTATTAAGGAATAAACCCAAACAAAGAACTACAGTAAATAAGGTCTTTTCTTTCACTGTAAGACAGGTTTTAAACTTTTAAAAAAAACCCTATAAGATGGAAATACAGAGCATTACTCACAACATTCTGTTTCACACAGAGTATTTAAATCAATCATTATCCAGGGCAGGGGGGGTGAGGGAATAAAAAAAACCTACAGCCATCTTTCTTTGGGTTTATTGCTCAAATACTCCCATTTTTAACTCTACACAGAGTCTCAACATATATACTAAAGAAAGCCTGTCCACCAGCAGTAGTTTCTGGTGCTTCCCTAGAGCTTTCCGAAAATGCACACTTGTGAAGCTGAGACAGCTTTGTATTTCACTTTATTTCATTAGACGTAATTATAATTTTAAAAAGTCTTACCAGTTTGACAGTGTTGTTTTCTCGCAGTTCTTCTGCAGTGGCTTAATGAAATGCATCTTTGCTAGAATTCAAAATACCTTAATTGCTTAAAAAGCAATTATGACCTGCAACAGTCAAGTCATTCAGAAACAGAAATCACATCTTACTTGTGTATCACTTTCATTGCCAGATCCTGAAGACTGGTTCTATTTTCAAAGATTTACTGTCAAGCAAATAAAAGTTCCAGGCTGATGCAAAAACTACCAGATGAGCTATGCAATATGTACTGTAAGAGCTGAGTCTGAGTTACAACAGAAGTCCTTTCTGGCTTATCTGATTCTTCATTGCTTGTATTAAAGCCACACTTCCACTCTGAAAAATTACTCCCTTTATTCTCTTTTATGTGCTCTCTCTCCTAATTATTCTCTTTTATGTGAGCTCTCTCCTAACCCAAAGCCTCTGTCTTTCAGTGGAAACTTTCCACCCTTCTAGCAATGCTGCTATATTCAGTGTGTCTTTGCCACATAAATTAATGTGCAGTGTACCAGGTGGTCCAAGGCAATACAATAAGTTACTTAACTCTTCATTTGGCTTAGAAAATGACTTCTTACTCATCTAATTGCAAGCCATCCAAGGGATGAGGAAAGGTTTCACTGGCTGCAGATCATCCTTGATAGATAGGTGTATTGTCTACTGTTGCTTGCAGCTAAGGAGATCCCACAGTGTCACTCTGTTCTCCCCTACAGCTATAGAAACAAACCGCTTCTACCTGACCTGGATCAGCAAAACAGATTGAGCGAGAATGCACAGCAATGACAGCCTTCCCTAAGAGTTTGCTGTGGTGCCTAGCAATTCTCTTAGTTCAAAAGCTTTGCCTAATACTTAACCCACATTTTCTAAGCTGCAACTTAAACCAACTACTTTTCAGTAAGTCACTGCTGATTATCATAAACAATTGAACTTTGTGACCTGTGATTGAAGGGAGTTTCATATTTAAAGCTTAACAGCCCCTTTGAATTTTCTTTAAAAAGGTAAAGTACATGAAAAAGAATGCCCCACCAACTGTTACCCATTTATCAAACATATTTTAGGTGTACATGGTGTTTTGAAGCTTATAGAGTGCTAATGCATCTAATGGTTTGGCTCTGGTATGTTTATGCTGTGGCCCTGTCTTTCTCACTGCCTGACCTTACACAGTTCCTTTAATCTCCCTGGGATTCAAGCCTATTCTGTTTATAAAATCACACTGTTTTAAGCATGCACATTTTTCAATTAAACAAGGGACAAGGAAGAAACATCCCCTTCTCAAGTTCTCTCACCTTCAAAATGGGAAAGGAAACATTATTTTTAAAGCACTTTCAGTTTTTTCAGATGGAAAGCACTCTACATGTCTGAGGTATACAAGGTGTCAGCAATTGTCACCATGATGTTTTATGGGTGTACACAGATCCATAACATAAAACATATGTAATGTATAACATATCTACATGTGTCAGTTTGCCAATTTTGGAAAATAAGACATTAGCCATACACACAAATTCCACTGTTCAACAATAGCTTAAATGGTAAAACCCTCTCCTTGGAGAAGAGCAGTTATCTCCTAGGTAAACATGAGAAGTGCTTTCTTCCATACAAGACAATGAGTTATACTGCTTACAGCACTTCTTAAATTTCATGCTTTAAAATAAATGCCAAGACAAGCAGCATAAAAATATGAGCAAAAGAGAGTTCTCTCACAGGCATCTTTAGAAAAGGATAAGAACTGCTACAATGATCTGGCAGACTACATAAAATGTTATACAAATGGGATGGCAAACTTCTTGTTTACAGAATTCTTACAGCTACCACAAGGACTTCAGTGAACATTTAACACTTATTGTACAGACACATGTAAACAAATACACTCCTATTACTGAAAAAAAAAAAAAAAAAAAAAAAGATATGCACGTGCTCTTCATCATTTTAGCAAAATAACTGAAAAAACACATAATTAAAGCCATCTAGTTATCCGTGTCAGGATATTTTTTTTCATGTCAAGATGCAACATTGTAATGTGTTATTAAAAAGAAACCTACCTCCATTGGCAACCTCAAACTTGACTCCAAACTCTCCTCCAGGTCCCCCAGGACTGTGGCTAGCTGTTAGAATAATTCCACCAGCTGCTTTGATCTTTCGGATGATACATGAAACAGCAGGTGTAGATAAGATACCATTCTGTCCAATAACCAATCTGCCGATCTAGGTGGAAAAGGAAGTCAAAGTACTCTGAATGGTACTAAACTTTTGAAAATTAATAAATAACCACACACACACATATAGTTATACTTGTACAGGATAGAAATTGTAACCTTCTAGTATGGAACCTATTCTTTTGCAGAGAAATATATATACACAAGTCAGTTGCATGCTAATCTGGAGCACTGACAAAAAATGTTGTGTCCTGCCACATTAAACCCCAGTGGCCAGTGTACTGACAGTAATGAAAGAGCACAGCCATGGTAGTGATTTGCAAAGCTTCCAAGCATAGCACTGGGCTATGATACTGCTGTCAAACCTTTCCAGGTATCCCTACAAACTAGCAAATCCCCTCAAATATCAACATAATTTAAGGCTGACTGTGTCGATGTGGTTTGCAGAGTTGGGGCTTTAACTAGCATAAAAGGGAGCAGCAAGCAAATTGCTTTTCATGGAGTGGCCTTTCAGCACAATCACAAACTTCACTACATACTAGGACCTGTAGTCTCTGCAAGTCACATCTCTATTACCAAGACACCCTTAAATGTCCTGGCCTATAGAAAATATTGCTCCTCATTCAGCCATCAGTGACTCCTTGGCTATTCCAGATGAAGAGGCTGTGTTTCCCAAGGCACAGCTGAGCAGGGGAAGTTCCCACCATTCTTAAAGTAAAAAAAGTTTTCAGGTGGTGTTATTAAACACTGACTCAATATGTTTGGTATTATGTGCAGTTCCACTGCAAGGTTCCAATTTCAAAACCTTGCCTTCATCTCCTACACAAATACTAGCATTTCAGCTCAATGTAAATAATCTAGAAGCCAACCAGAAATGTATTTACAAAGAAATATAAAAGAGTTCCAGTTCCTGGGAAACAGACAGATAGAAAAAAAAAGGAGGGGAAAGGGGGAAGTTACTGTCACAAATGAGAACTGAGGAAGCAAGGCAGCTGTATATGGAGTTTAAAAGGATATTGCCAAAGTGGAGGTTTTTAATATCCTCACTTGAAAAAAAACCAAACAAAATATAACAAGCAAACAAAAAACCCCACCACTACTGAGTAGCAGTTTAGGAAAGAAGGAGGGAGGGAGAGAGGGAAGGAGAGGCAGAATATTGAATCCTTCCCACTCCCCATCTAGAAGCAGACTAGGAGTTCAACCTCAGGCTTCCTTCTCTAGTTTGAGAGAGATTTGATAGCTCTGCTGCCTGGGTGGAAAATCAAAAGCACAGATTGTGTCACTACCTGCCCCCTTTCTATAAAGGGCGCTTCCTTCATATATAGATGACCCCCTCCTGGGTTCAGCGCTTGTGTGAGGCTCTTAACAGTTATTTAGAAGTGGAGTTCCAAATAATTTCAGAAAAGCAAACAATTAATAGATTTTTTTTAGCTTGTTTTTGTGGACTATTTTAATAAAAAATACAGACTTGTCAATGAAATTATCATCTTCTAAAGTAAGCACAAGTTACTTTTTTGCTAACCTTCACAAAGCATGACCTATGGTTAGCCATTTCTCTTTCACTGACAATTACAAGAGCTGCTTTCAAATTTTTAAAAATGTGCAAAACTGCATTCTCTTAACTGAGATTTCTACCTCAAGATGTGATGATAGGAGGATTGACTACCTGGTTCTCTTTTCACAGTTTTTGCAGATAATTTTGAAGCCTATGGTTCATTGCAAAAGAAGAGCAAAGCTATGAAAATTACAAGTACAGTTAATGGAAAAATCTTTCAAGGTTCATTTGACTTCTTTTGCTACTATTGGGAAAATGTTTTGTTTCACCATCTTTTTTTCTCGCACGGCAGCACAGTTCTGAAGGAAATGAAAAAAGAAAAAGTTAAGAAATGAAAAATTCTGGTTTCTCATTTTTCCACTATGATGGAAAAACAAATATTCTTTCCAGGAGGAAAAAAAAAACGCAAATCAGTAGAATCCACATTTTCTGCTTCAACAGATTATTTTAAAGCAGTGGTTCCACTGACATGGTCAGTTGGTAAGGGTGGAGTATATATAAAACACACAGCTGAACCTCATTTCTGCTCACTTAGAATCAGAGAATGGTTTGGGTTGGAAGGGACCTTAAACATCATCTTCAACACTTCCAGGGAGGGGGCATCCACAACTTCCTTGGGCAACCTGTTCCAGTGTCTCACCACCCTCACAGTAAAGAATTTCTTCCTAATATCTAATCTAAACCTCCCCTCTTCCAGTTTAACGCCATTTCCCCTTGTTCTGTCATTAACTGCCCTTACAAAAAGTCCCTCCCCAGCTTTCTCGTAGCCCCTTCAGGTACTGGGAGGCCACTATAAGATCTCCCTGGAGCCTTCTCTTCTCCGGGCTGAACAGCCCCAGCATTCTCAGCCTGTCCTTGTAGGAGAGGTGCTCCAGCCCTCGGATCATCCTTGTGTCCCTCCTCTGGACTCACTCCAGTAGGCCCATGCCTTTCTCATGTTGGGAGCCCCAGAACTGGATGCAGTATAGTATACTTCAGTGGTACTGATCAATTTTATTTCCTATTTAAGCCTAACAATACAGTTTCATTGACCTATGACTGAATGATTAAGAACAATACCACCCTCCTTATTATAGAACCCGATACTGGCTATAACATAAATACCTTTGATTATTTGTGAAACAAACCATACCAGTGAGTACAGTTTTCCTTGAAGAACAGATTAAATGTTATGCTTGTCCATGGTGACAGCATTTACTTGCTAGACTCTGCATCACTTTCTGACTATTATGTCTCTCCTGCCTTCCCATTCTTGCTTCTCCCTGAAGGTAAAACTAAGCAGTAATTTACAGCATGTGTATTTGTAAATATCTCAATTTATCATAATTTACAGACCTCAGGAGCAAAGATAAAGACATATTTCCTCCACTCCTAGCGCCAAGCCAAGTGAAGCAGCTGATCAAATGTTATGTCACTGATTACAGAAAAAAATTGGTATCTCTCTTACTGATCAGACTTCTTTACATTTATGTAATGTCCTTCCAATCTTTTAAAACTCTCTTAAATCTCCAAACGCTACATTTACATTTTATTTATTCAACTGTTCTGAATACTAAACTACTTTCCATAGTATTTCTAAAAATATTTTCTATACAACCCTGCTTGTTACCACAGAAATGCAATTCCTACACTGTGGAACAAGAAAGACTTCCCATCCCCCACAAAGCAGAAGCATTTCCAGTGTTGTGGGCTGACACCTGACAAGGACATTTTTACCTCAGAAAATACAGAGGATAAAACTCCTTCTATCAGGAGAGGCACTGAAATCACTAGGAGCTCTAGTACATGCCTTGACGCACTTTTAGAATCAAGCTTAAGACAGAAAACTTACCATGAGCCACATAATTTACTGTTATATTTAAACCAGTACCATGTAATTAATTTGAAAGAGAAATGGAGATTTTTTTCAAATTGTTCTGAATTTGAAAGTGTCCTTTTATGGCTTCTTTTCAGTCCACGAAGCAGCTTTTGGACAACACGCCATATCTTTCAAGACTGTTGTATTAATGCTGTCATTTAATCACTAGTGCCAATTGTACTGAAGTGTCAGAAAAAACACAGAACACTGGGAAGCAAACTTTAACAATCTTCTTCCAGTCTACACAACAGCCTACCCATGTACCTTTATTATGGAAAGAAAAGCATGATTAAAATAAATAGCAAAAAAGTTTGTTTTGAATTTCGTCGCTCCCTTTTTTAAACTATGAAGCATGTAGAAAGCTAGGGCAATGACTCAGTCTTCCAAATACAGCTGTCAGAAACGGGTGCCAGCTTTTAAACCAGAATTGTGTATGGGTAAGCAAAAGGAAGATGACAGGACTTACATTTTGCAAAATGCTTGAAAACAACAACACTGAATCTGTGTTGAGGTACTCAGGTATAAATGCATCTATATTTGCATAGAGGCTCACCATGAGCACATTCTCCATATTTCTAAATCCAAACTAGTGAGGTTTAGATTTTTGTCTTCATGCATATTGAAAGTGTTTTTTTAAAGTAAGTAGGATACTTAGATGATTTGGAATGCATACATGACCTGGCACTGTCTCTTCACCATATATTCTTTTTTTTTCACATTCAATAGAAGTTGCACAAACCAGTTTTCCCATTTTTCTGGATGCCCAATATTAATACGGACAGGAATAATTTGCTTTGCCTTCATCATCTGTTACAAGGCTATTATTTCTATACTGCTTAGAAATATTACTTATACTAATTTCTACACTATAGAAATAATGTAATATTTAGTATTCTAAATTAAGGATGTTGACAGTGAAATTATATGAATGATACACAGCTATTTTACTTGCAGTGACTAATGCGAAGAGCTTCATCTTATGTGAAGGTCTTCAGTGCTTTAAAGAAACATCCCGAGGACAGTGCAGACCTGAGATGTGTACCCATGCTACCCATCTTCCTCTGCTCTCTTCATTTTGGTGGCAAGAATGCACAACCTCCTCCCCCCTTGGCCCAGAAGCTGTTCATTCTGTCTCTGAACCAAATACTAAACTGATACTTAATTAATTTTAAGTAATGAACTCTCAGATCTACAGACTTCTTGCAATCTAGGCTAAAACAGTAACCAAACAATGTCCATGTACTGACTTACAATTAAAGTTACAGTAATATCCTTCTGAAAATCTTGGACAGTTTCATAGCGTGGAAAGATTACCTTTGGAATTTAAAAACTTGCATGGCTACGAGATCACGGGCATGTAATATCTCTTCTAATACTGTACCCCTACGCCATGGTCTATTTTGTCACTCTGCTTTTAGTAGCAACAGCAGAAACAAAGACCATGATCCTCAGCAAACCATTACAGCTCAAAGAACAGTCACCCCAATAAGTACTTTACAAGAACATTTTTATGCAATATTACCACTCGCAGCTGTCCATTTTCAGATGAATCAGTTGATTACCATGGAGTCACTTAATACTTTTTATTATTTTTCCCAGTAATCTCTCACATGCCTCAGTTAATTAAACTTGAAATAACATGAAGCAAGCAGATTATATCCTAGACAGTATGGGGCTGTGCCTTCCTATCTTTTACTATGCCTCCTAAGGATGACTGAGTGCCATGTTCAACAGAGAAGCAAACACATCAATCTTACAGGTCCAGAGAAGGAGGACAAGATTTGCCTGGAAGACCACAGAAAATAAAAACAACATGGTATTATAAAGAAGACAACTGGAAAACTCTTTGCCATCTCAACCTTCTACAGCATTACTAGCAATACTCTGTGATCTTTCTAGGATGTTGCTATGACTTTCCTCATTCAGAGTATGATCATCAGCTTCTGATCTGCCATTTAGACCCACACATAGCAGCTTCTCATTTAAACCTATCCTAAACTTTGCATCAAAAATGAGACACCACTTCCAGTTGATGGGTTGTATGGAATACTTGCATTTAATATGTAGTGGAACTGCATTATAAACAATTGAGCCTTTTACCTCAGTTCTTCCAGACATTAAGGTACAAGGACGCTGCTACTGAAAGGACACAGTTGAAAAGGGAAATAGAGCCTCAGATACTCTCCTAGCACCCCACTTGGCAAAACCACTTGTTGCAACCTGCAGTGGTACAAGACCTCTGTGGAGAGTGCACCTGCAACTCCAAGCTGGAGGACATAAGCCAGAGGGACTGAAGATGAGAAGAAGGCAGGGCAAGCACTGGCAGCTGACTGGGCAGGGGGCCTCATCTCATTCCTTGTACTGCAGCATATGCCAACTGTGCTAGGCTGTTAACACAGAGGGAATGCGAGGTGAGTCACCAAATTAGAACAAGGGGAACCTACTGACTCTAAAGGGTGATATATTTACAGTTGATAAGAGAAAATCCCTTTTATTTTTGTACTCAGCAGGCACAATCAACCATAAGACTTAGTGTGTGCCTTCCAGGAAGGTGATTCAAGTTCAGTTCCTAAGCACTACGTGGCTATCCCCCTCTTGGCACTCTGGGGTGGCTAAAGGTTTTGAATGCAACTTCAAGTCTTCCACACATTTCATCCAACAATCCTGCCTACACCAGCTCACTTCTTTCCTTGTGATACTGGCTACATGCCTTCTAATGACATTAATTAACCTCATCCAAAGGGAGAGATCTTTCCCTTAGTATTCCATTCCTCTCCCACTACTTCCCCCGCAGCAGTAAACAATGTCTTCAGGGAGGTTCAGATATTTTCCCAACAAATGTATTTTAACAGCCAAAGAATAAAGCCTACATACAGTATTCTCTAAGTAAATGTGGGTGTTAGGCATTTACAGTGTGCTTGTGAGCAACCGGCTGAGGGTGAGCAGGATAAGAGTGGCAGAGAGGGTATGGCGCATAAGCACGTGGAAATGGGAAGCCTTTTCAGTATCAGTAGCACCCCATAGCTGGCCTACTGAATTTATGAGGACTGTGTCATTAGTAAGAGTATCATGCTTGAATTCAGATATTTGTGGGAACTGTGAGTAGAAAAGCTTGGGGTTTGGCTTCAGAAAACACTAGGGAGAAACTGTGTTTCCAGGAAACTTGCAGTAACTTAAGAAAGGGGAAGCACAACTACTGCAAGGTGCCAGCAACATGTCAAACTGGAAACCTCTTGAGGTCAAAAAGACTTGATTTTCAGGAGAAACAGAGCGAAATGGGGAATGTGACAAAAGCAGCAGGAAGGAGACAAGATGAAAGGAAAAATTAGTCCGGAAGGAGTCCTGAATACAGCATAACCAGTCTGACAAATCCCTGGTCTTCTAAACCCTAAACTTCTTGTCTTCCTCATCACGTCAGTCCTTGTGGTCACCTCATGGCTGTAGCCCACTCTATAGCTCCTACCAGGGTGCAAGGACAGGCAAGGACCTCAGCCTCAGCAGGACAGTTCTTGCTGCTTTAGCTGTTGCTGCACTTTATCCCACCTGGTGAACAGGTATAATTCCAGCAGTGAGGCTTTCTCCGCCGAGCTACCTAGGGGAAGGGGCTGGGGAGCAGCACTCCTCTGAGCCCGTCCTACCTTGCTCGCAACACCTGACACTCCAGGCCACTCCGGCTGCTGTGCATTTGCTTCCCGCACGTTTGCTCCCAGCTGCTGAAGACTGAACACCACCACACTACCCTTGATGGTGTCCCCACCCTCACCAGTGTACCCCCCCCAACACTGCTCCCCATATCCTGGGCCACATAAGCCCTGGCCTCTACCAAGCCCCTGCGTGAACAGCAAGTCTGAAGAAGTTATCTGGTACATACGGTGGTACATATATAACACAGTCTCTGAAATCTCAGGTATCACTCAGCATCTGCTTGCTAGTATCAGCCTGGTGAGAATGTGCTTTAGAAATAAATATAAAATACTATAATTTATATCAGGTTATCTAATCCATAGAGCTTGTATGCGACAACAAATCAACAGGGAAAATTCAGACATATATGGAGATTCGTTTCAAAGTTGAAAGACCTCCTGATTACAAACCAGAACCGCATTTAAAGAATGGAGGTTTTGAAAAAAATTGAGAAAAAGTAAATTTACTACAAAAAAAAACCCCTCTAAAATTATATCACGCCTTTGGCCAGATGTGGAGAATCAATTTAGCCATCATAATAAGAGACAGAAGCTTCAACTCGGCTTTGAAGTAGAAACTTCAAGCCTCCACCAGCCAGTATTTCCAGCTTTCTGTACGTACACACCAACACATGAACATGCCTATGCATCTACCAGAAGACATCAGTTTTCTTCCCGAGTTCTTTCCTATTTTCTAAACTGCAAAAGAAAAGCTGTAACCCATCTGATCACAGAGGTATTTGCCACTGTTGTCTTCTGGCATTTCGTAATTTGTTTGCAAGTGAACAAGTGAACAATAGAGGAGAGCGATTATTTTTGTAAGATTTTCTTCTTTCCTTAAGAAAGACTCTTTCTTTCTTTCTCTTGCTTCAATAATATTATTTTTGTAAGATTTTCTTCTTTCCTTAAAAAAGACTCTTTCTTTCTTTCTTTCTCTTGCTTCAATAACACCATTTTCCTTCAAAGTTTTTTAAAGATCC